TACTACTACTACTACTACTACTACTACTACTACTACGACTAGTATCGTCTAATACTGCTACTACTAGTACTACTAGTAGTAGTAGGTCACACAAACTGAGGATATAATGATTTCACAAGTTTCCCACGTGGACAATAACAAATTCCCGCCTGTGTTTTTTTGATGCTCCAATCTGAATCTCACAGCCCTTTTCCCTGGAACATGTTCTCCCACCCTATGTTTCTCAGCACAAATTTCACACCGTTTTCTGGGGTCTGTACTGTTTTTTCCAATGTTGCCATTTTTGTCTTATCGCGACATCCAGAATAACATCATTCCGATATGTTTCATATAAACTACACTGTTCTTTTTGATTTTGATCCATGGTATCCTTTTCTTATTTTGGCTCCTTCCAATTTTTTTCTATCGTTCAACGAATACATCCAAGCAACCATTTCAGTCGTATACCATCTGTATTATCATATTTCCATTATTATTTGTTGTTTGTACTAATGAAATACTATTTTATTAATTTGCAAAATTATACTGTCAGACCTACTAACAATTCCTCAACATCTTTGAAGATACTTGTATCATCCACACACTTCCGTGATATCGAACTTCAATTCCTCTTCTTGTAGTTTTCTTTTTTTTTTCTCTCTCTCTTTCCTCTCTGTCTTCACCCATCATTTCTCTATTGCCTGCCATTAATTCCGTCTCAATGGTTCTTGTACTTTCTTTTATTCTCCCAGTGATGATGACATGTGTGAAACGGGCACACACTTGTTGTACCCGCCACTCATATTTCCTTGCTAGCACGCCAACTTTTTCTGCGTGTCAATAATTTTCTGGTGTGTCCATCCTTTTTCCTTTGGGTATCAGTAGGTTTTTAATGCCCAGAAAAATTTAGTACACATGTAATTCCACTCCATTGGATCTAAATATGTGTCTGCCATACAGAGTGAGCTCAGTCACAATTTAATCATGATTTAGTCAAACTATCCTTTGGTTACTTTGAATATTCAAAGTTCAAATGCATTTCTCCTGCTGATCATTTACAATAGTTCCCTTCACCGGTAAAGAATTTTCGTGACATATCATAATCCACTATCCCCCTCTTTCATTTTGGATTTCACATCCTGCGGTTTTTAAATTTTGAACCCATATTTGAATTGTTTCTTGGATACCTATTCAAAAACACCACACAATAGACCAAACTAGAATGGTGTTCTCAGTTTTGTTCGTATCATCGTTTTTGTTGGTTTATAAGATTTCAAGTCCTTTTAAAATTTAAATCCTTGTTCAAAGACCAACTCAAAAATGCACAATAGACTATTTGAGAACAGTGTTCCTGGATATGACCATTTCATTATTTTTGTTGGTTCCTCTTCTTACTTTTCAAATTATTCGCAGTCATGGACGATGTTTGAAATATGCAGTGGTAACGACCCCCTCCTGCGCATGCTTCTCGCTCTTTGAGTTCTTGTCACACTTCCTGTTTTTCTATTTGTCTTCCATTCCCCCATGTTGTTTCTTTGGAATCATTTTATTAATCTTCTTCCATATATCTGGACTGAATTTGTCTTCACCCTACTTCATATCCTGCATATTGCATGAGAAATATCACTAAGATTACTA